ACGCGTGTAAAGTACTAAAAAGAGATAAAAATATTTTATAACAGCACCCTTCTTTCAAAAACTTTCTAATGCTCTCACATTGAAATAATACCACACAGAAAATGTTTTGATCGATACAGTTGTTTTATTAACTTTGATACAACAATCGTTTAAACACCAGTGTGGCCTCTTCTAAAACCGCAATTTAATTGCAAGGTGTAGTTTGTTGTTGACTGCCGGGCTCTCTTCTCATCGTATTACACTCGACTCCGCCGCCATTCATTTGATATTCCAAGCACTGCGTCAGAATCGGCACCTTTTGGACGGCGACGGATTAATTAGTCACTAGTCACGTGTTACGAATACAATTTCGATATCAGAAGTGTGGTATTATACACACCTCTATACATTAGTGAGACTACGAGAGCAGTCACTGAAGGGCGCCATTGTAGAGAAGGGAGTTATTCTTCTAAGAATAACATCCTCCCGTCCGCAGTGAACGCACCGTGGACGCGTGATCATACCATTGTCGACGTTTTCACCCAATGGAAGCGCCAAGACATCGACGAGGACAACCGTCTGATGAATATTAAAGCTTCTAGTATTAGCTACACAATCGGAGGATGATTCAAACATTAGCTTACCGTACCCGCACAACAACACAGAGCCGACGTTAATATTCCAAAAGAGGTTATTATCTTAGACGGTCTGTTTGTGAGGGCGTATCGTCTCACCTAACAACTATGCATACAACTTCTACGCTCCTATAACATTCTCAAACTTTGTCATATAGGATTCCCAGAATATGTATATATATACATATGATATTCAGCTAAAATCCGAACGGTAGAGAATAATGAGACGTACAAATGTAATAAATTTTCGAATTTCAGAGTAATGTGTTATTATTAAGTCTACAGGAATACACAGAATGTACGATTTTCTGATATAAATTGATACCATAACATTTTGAGACACCATAGAGTAGCTTTCCAACGATTTCTAAGTGTATTGTATACAATCATTCAATTTTTTACCATCAATATCTTATAAAAATATTAAATGTATGGAAAAAGGTTTGTGAAATAATTTATAGTAAGAAGAATTTACATAAATTTGGTATAGAAAAAAGAGAAAACTTTTTAGTTCTACATGTTTTAATGACAAATACAATTGAAACTCGTAAATTGTTTGTACAATATCAAATTACCGTCGTATGCGAGATGGGCAAGAGGGTGAAGAATGTGCAGAGCAGCTGAAAAGAGAACAACAGATAGGACAAATAATATTTTCTCAAATGTCTTAACATGATATTATCATAATAGGATATAATGTACTATAATACTTTACATCATATTCCGTTTTTTCTATAAATTTACTTACTTTACCAACAGAATACTTAAGTTAATACTATGCCACTTGACGAATGCAGTTCTTTATGCGATTTTTTACTCTATACTTAAATTTAATATACTTTTCTACTTATTGGTTATAGTTGTATTTTCAAAGTTTAATGATACACTCTGCTCATAAAAATTGAACACAGGACATGGAAAGTAAACATTTTTGTGAGACCTAGGGTTTCATTAATCCAATAACAGCAGATAGAGAAAAGAAATCCGAATCATAGATTTTCCCTGTAACTAGAAAAACCAAATGACATAGAAATCATGTACAACACATATACTGTATAAAGCTTTTACAGGAAAAAGGATACATTTCTTTTTTAAGTTTTTGTGTAGCTACTCGTTCGACCCCTTAGTTCTTTACACCTTCTTATTTTGAAATACGGTGGGCACAAATGAATTTAATATCGAAACCTTTGAAGTTTTTTCAACTCAAAAATGACCTTTCATTGAAAGCATTTCTACGCACTCGCCATTTCTTCACTTAGTTTTTTTAAGGTTGTTTTTATAGGTGGACGAGGGTTTAATAACCTTTATAAAACAAATTTGTTCACTACTGTCAGCTCATTTCACATACGGAACCCTCAAAAAGTATTTTACAGTTCAATGTTTCGACGACTTTATGAAACACGCGGGACTTCTTGATAATATTAATATTAATCATAAAATAAGTCTAAAAATAGACTTAAAGTGAAATTTGAAAAGTACTTGACAAAGAACTTTTTAGAAAAATTATTGATAAATTTAAACACGATTAATGAAAAGAAAATTAAAAATGTGTTTTGAGTTCTTTTAAAAGTTATGTCGATAAGGTTTATTTGATAACTTAAACATTAGAATACTTAACCAATCAACTAAGTGTTGAAAAAGTATACATATNGTTCTTTTAAAAGTTATGTCGATAAGGTTTATTTGATAACTTAAACATTAGAATACTTAACCAATCAACTAAGTGTTGAAAAAATATACATATATATATATATGACTTTCGTTGTTCGTAGCTATAGAAAATGTATTGTTTTCTAATAACATACGTACAAGTGTGACAGTGACATATTATAATTGATTTGATGTGCACCGCACAAAAGTATTTCTTATTGTTATTTAATAAGCCTACGTCCTACGCGATGTAGTATCGTATAACTTATGATACTTTCGAACTAAACAACATTTTAAAAAAAGGATAGTTTAAAAATCATTTGATGATAATAATTGTACAACGCTTTAGAAGAAAACAATAAAAGCAAACTGACGTGTTCTTGAGAAGACACAACCATAGAAATCCGGTCATTGCTTGAAGTGATTATTAAATAGAAACAATAGCGTTATTTCAATGAAGTGTGTGTACTCGACATAGTACTCTAAACACGAGAGCAACTTTCAAGACAAACTTTGTCTCGAGCCTTTTAGTATTTCGTTAAAAATATAACACTACACGTGTTTCAATTAGATAAAATGTTATAAATCAACCGACAGGTCGAATAACGAGCAATTATTTATTTAATTATTCGTCATTAAGAAAAAAAAAGCATAACTGTTAAAATAACAAAGTTTCAACAGTTAAAACAAAAACTAATTTTTGAATTTTGCAATCTCAACTTTCTTAGCCATAGAAAAGTAATGTAATTTTTTTTTAAGCTGCATTCAAACGATATTTTCACCCTCTGGCGTTATGAAATGAAATAACAGAAAAGGCATTTAGCAAAAGGGCAATAAAACACACTGAATACACTCTATTTTACACGCATATTTGGTGCTTAAGGAAGCAATATAAATGGTAATGTTGTTCAACACACGTAGTTTGGTCGACTCCAATGTTTCCAAACTCTTTTCTCACATCAAATTAACATTTCTCTCGATTTCCGTTTCAAAGCGTACAACAATTGGCCGTCACTTTTTTCCACAGTAGACGCGACCCCCCCCCCCCTCACGTCACTTGACCAAATTTACAGACGCGCGAAAAAGCATAATTCGTTTTCGCGTTTTTGTTATGCTCTATTCCCACAGGCCACACGTAGGGGCGGCAGAACGAACTCGACAAAACAACAAAAGTTTTCATTACAATAATAGTAATAATAATGTGACGACGGCAACGGCATGACTCCTACTAAAACATATTATATGTAATTTAGAAGGGGCGAGAGGTAATAATAATTAACCCGAAACGACAATCGTCGCCGCCGCNTGTAATTTAGAAGGGGCGAGAGGTAATAATAATTAACCCGAAACGACAATCGTCGTCGTTCTTTACCCTCTACGCGACCGCTGTCTGGGTAACGTGCGATAAATATGACGTGTCTGGTGTAATATAACGCGAATAACATCAGGCGTCCGAAAATAAAAAACACAAAAAGGCGCGGATCGAGTAGGGATTATGTATAATATGAGCGTAGGGATTTGAAAATATTTTTTAAATATTAAAAACTCAGAATTACGGGCTCAAAACAATGGTTTTGTCGACCACTTTTATTCGACCTGTCACGTGCACGTACGTTATTTCCCACTCACCCCCAACCCGCCCAGCCCACACTCTGCAGTAGGGTACGCACTTTTGTTCTGATCGCTACTACAGTGGTTTGCAGCCGCTGCCGCCCGCTGGTATAATTTATTCCAATTGTGAGCCGCCAGCCGTCATTTTTTCTTCACGTCATGTTATACCCGCAATATGCATACGCAAGTACGCTCACGCATAGGCACTGCTGACTAGGAACAGTGATTCGTTTTCATTGAAACGGTCACACCGAACAGCGTTAGAGTCGAGATGCAGACAAACACCAACAGTCCGTATGGGCGGCGACGTCGGTTATTTACCGGAGGAGTTCATGAATACACAATCTCAAAAACTCGAAATCGTCTTTCTCGACTATTAATGAGATTGATTCATTTACAAATGTAATCATACGTTTTTGCGAATACCGTTTGAATACACAAAAAAATTTATAGATAAATACATCTGAAAATTGCAGATGATATAAGATGTCGCCGTCTGTTATTCAATAATTGTTAATGATAAATAATATCTAGAATTATACAGACAGGAATAAAATTGTATTCGCTTCGATAATCAGTCTGCTTGTCATATCAACTTTGTTGACCGTTTAAGTGTATTTGTCAAGGGCTTTTCAATGCTCGACGGGTATTCGGAATTGACAGAATTGTTCTTAGTCGGTTTGGAACATTTGACCTCTAACGCTAGTCGGACTGGGTATGACGACCTGGCCACCGCACGATTTATGGTTTATGGAACATTAACGTCGGACAAATCTCAACGTTTCAGACATGGCGGCCAACGATAACATCGTTTCTGTAATATACTGATCAACGTATTGAACACTAACGACTTCGAAGATCAACTAAATCAAGTGATACCAACTGGTCATGAGTCGTGTTGACAACGACATATCGTTTTAATGGGTTTAAAAATTTTTTATTATTTAATTATACAGGCGTATCTGCGTTTAGTTTTAAATAATTTGATGGACACTATCAATTAAACTAAATCAACTAAATTATCTAAAGATTAATTACAATACATCTTTAGATAATTTAGTTAAATAGAAAAAAAAAACATGTCAGTGTGTACGTATTACATAACAACAAAGAGTGTTTAAATACCTGTCCTCTATCAAAAATTTGTCACCAATATTCTGCACACAATGTCCTTTTGTTTGTATGCTAGTAGTGTTAATTTGGATATGGTGGTTGACTCCGGACTGAAACCATCGGCCAGACCATTGAGAGGGAAATTCGCATTGACCTATAAAATAGTTGAAACATTTATCAAAAAAGTATTTCATTTTATTTGGTTAAAACTTATTATGTGGATTATAGTAAATATTACGACTCGCATTCAAATATACAGTACGCTTTAATTGTAATGTTTATTTATTAAATTTATTTAGTTAATTTTAATTTATAATTCCATAACAATTCATCCAAGTGATAAAAATTCAACAAGTCCAAAATAAATTTGTCAAAAACTCCAATAATGCAATTCCCTATTTAAATTGACCATTTATATGTATTGAGTTCAAAAAATTTGAGACATATTAGTGATTTAGACTATTTCATTTTAGACTTGATTATTCATTCGTTCTCTCGTAAATAACCCCTAGGATTAAAAACTCATACGCACAGAATACCCAACACACATGAAAGTTGAAAAAAAAAATACAGTATAGTATATTTACCAACTCTCCAAAGAGAATATGTTCTGATGTTCATAAACGGGGTAGATGAGTACCTTAAACAGATGAACGTATAGCAATCTATACACATGGGAGATTTAATACTCTGCCGACGAAAGCACATTCCTACAGCGTATTAAACTTTAAGCTTTTCAGGTCCATAACTTTGTGCGTATTCATTCGTGTGTATAATACACAGAAACACCGTACGTTTATAAACACACAAGCTGTGGTGGCATGTACAAACAAACACACACACACACACACACATTTCTCCTTAAGTCCAAAGAACGTCGAACAACAAGGAGAGGGTCAAAGTATTCGCGGTTAAGAAGTGGGGGAGACACTCGATATTAATTTCAACCGGGACCAACCGACGCGGCAGCAAGCTGTCATGAAAAGTGATGGAGATCAATATTGCCGAGTTATAAATAATATCAGACAAAACTTATCTCCGACCTCCTCTACATTTTATAGTATCCTGAATACGGTAAACTTCCACATACTATCCTTCTCTTGCATTAGGGATGTATAAAAAGCGCAGCGGATATAAAATTGCATCCAGGTGATGAATGTCACGTCACGTTGACAGATTTCAAAAAGTATAATCTATACTTATAAATAAAACAGTATCAATTTTCTCTAGACACGCGTAACCTTATGGTTGAATTTTGTAGTTTTGATTAGCACGATTACTTTAAAATCAATCCATATAATTAAATACAAAGGATTTAACTATGGCCAGCCCGATAAGTTATGAAAAATATTAACACATATGTAAATCTTAAACAATAAAATAAAATGAATATTGGCTTGATTTGAATTTTATCAAAAGAGATATCTATGTACACAATTTTTTTAATTCTAAAAAAATGAATGTAAATATTAATAGTTAGTATTTTTAATTTTAGCTTAGTAATAATTATATTGCGATAAAAATAATGAATGATAACAATATGTGAACTGTGAAAATAAAAACAAATTTTTTTAGTATATTCTTTATAAACATTACAGTGTACCCTAAACAAATAATTTTAAATTTTAAATAAATTTCCAAAGTTGATAATACCTAAAGTAGTTCCATAATTTTTTCAAAAAGTTAATAAAGTCGAGTTATTTTTTATATATTTTTTTTACTAGAATAACCTGTGGAGGCAATCCTCAGGTGAGATGTTTACGTTTACTGACAACGACTATGGGACCAAATGATCCGGGGACATCATTGTCGCCGTCATCTGTCTCGTTTCCCACATGTACAAATATTTGTTCACCGATTTCAAAAAAGGGATCACGGCCCTCATCTCTATATGCTATTGGTACAGAAGTAGCACGTAGGCTGTCGATTTAATACAAACAGTGGACAATAGAACAGTGCTCATACTTTCACACGGAGAGGCTTTTATAATACCATAAAAGCAATTTATAATACAACTAAAAAAAGATAACGAGGTGTAGAATATAAAGCTGTCTAAAAATAGTATTAATTAAAGCCTATCTTTAGGTCATTCATTAAGAATATTAATTTCCAACAAAAATGTATGTTTTTTCAATTTTATATAACTGTTATAAACTATTCCGACAATTAACTTTAATGGATTAAATTTTAACTATGGTGTAATCGTAAGTGTTTAAAAATCTAAACATCATAATAAATCACTGTTTAAATCAATTATTTAATAATAAAATAAATGAAATAATAAAAAAAAGTCGATTCGATTTAAAAACCTTACACCAAATTATTGGCACGTTACCATATAAATTATAATAATCATTATAAACTTAGTCTCTATCCTAACTTTTAGGATCGGATCTAGCAGTCGGATTTGACAGGTTTTTTTTCATCGGGTGACAACAGATTGTATACTTATGGCTGATTACACTAATATTACTAATAAAAAAATATTTAGTGTTGCTGTACGGTTTTAAATAAATATCATAGAAAAACACGATGCCGTTCAAATTTGATAAAATATTGAATGGGTGACATAACTACTAGTGTACACATTTATACAATACATAATCATATAAAAATAATTTTAAATAACCAAAGAGAATCTATGTTTTATCAGTTGAAATTCAGTGAATTTACTAGTATTACCAAACGTTGATTAGCCATTGAGATAACATAGAGACATAACCGACGAGTAGAGCTTATTGTTAGCTTATCTGTTTTAATATTAATTCCATCATTTTGACATAATTCGACATTTTTAAAAGAAGAGAGTAATTTAAACAAAACATACTTTTCCATCCACCTAGGTATAAAAATGTTAATATAACTTCCGAAATACTGGCCCAAAAGTTGTTATCGACCAGACATATTTTTTAAAAGTTCATTATTCATTAAATAAACGAATTAATTATTTATGTTGCCATTTGAAAAATAAAGTTGACACCCAAGTATCAAGGGTTAAACATAAAAAATACTTTAATATTGATAAATTGAGATAAACTTGTGTCTAAAATAAAAATTTCTCAGTATAATTTTCATTTATTCATTCATTAAGTGGTTCGTGAGTCATTATTTATACCGATGTCCTAGCTTGATCTGAAATTTTTTTTATACAGGGTGTTCAGTAAGTCAGGAAACGGGTTTCAATTGTTCTCATTGTTACAACCTGTATAATTATTCAGTATCCGTTCTCGAGTTGAAATAATTATTTTTTGAAAAAAAAAAATTGTATTAGGAGAATAAGCTAAATCTATATATATATATATATATATATAAATACAACAATAGTTTGTGTTCATGGAAACGTGATTTAAATGATCACGTTTCTCATTACGATAAACTTATCGCGCTGCATGGGAATAAACCGTAGAATTTATTATTTGAATTATATGAACATTAGTGATAACAAATATGAATTTTTTGAATTCATTGAAATAACAAATGTTTTGAAAAATTTTAATTGGTAATATTAATAGTAATACACGATAGCTAATTATTAATTTTTACACAGCATTAATTTTCTAGTCTTATCATTACGGATATGGTCAGCAGAAGGGCACGACAAGCAGCTGCGGCTAATAGTTTCAATTCAGTATGGTTTTGTCTACAGTACTACAGCAGTTGTAATCAAACATGCGTTACGCTGTGAGCGGCGGCGCCGGCGGCCCACGTTTATGCCGCTTTGTTGGCTATGCAATGTTTTTTGTGAACTTTTTAGCCATCATGTGCATTATAATGTACAGCAACAATATTAACCCATTTAATTTAACTACTAAAAATTATAACCGCGAAGGATACATACAACTAGAATCTTTAGACCCAAACGAAGTTGCCATCAACAGGTCGATTTTTTTTGTTGAAACCAACCGGCAATCAGCTGTTGAGCTAAAACCTAGACAAGCATGTTCTATAGAATCAGCTGCAAGGTAAGTTTTAACTCGACATTATTATACAAAAAGGTTACTGTTATTTATACACCAACCCAACCAGAATAGTTAAAAAAAATGTATTTTCGAATTAAATATAATAACAATAAGATCAATAGTTATATTATATTTGTGTCAACAAGAAGTCACAAAATATATTTATATAAACTGGATAACAACACATACTAAGGTTTATATACAGAAATATAATACAATACATTTTGAATAACTATACCTTTTTCCTTATTTACCTTTTTAGGTCCTATATAATCATAAGTTTAGCATATTATGATACAATAGTTTAAATATTAAATCGACTAATATATTTATTCAGACCTTTAACTTTTTATCACGTGACGTCAGTATTAAAAAGTTTTTTAGAAGTGAAATATAATAGAATATTATGTTGACGTTTTATGCGACGTTAACTAAAAACAGGTAACTCCAATATTTTAATTTCGTTAATAACTTTAATATATAAAAAAGTATCAGATATTACTCAACTATTTACAAAATTACTAATATTTAAAAATTGGCGAGGAAAAACATTAAGAAATATAAGAGAAAAATCTAAGACATCAATGAAAGCACTACAACTTGTATTTGTTCCAAATTTTTTCCATTAACTTTTATTTAAAGTTATCGAATGATATTGTTCAAAGATAAGTAATCTGGTAAAAAATGCCCGACTATTAATTTTACATAATGTACAAAATTGCTTAAGAGAGAATATTTTATAAACAATGCCATAACGTAAATCTCATTTCAAAAATGTATGTCTTTTGGTCCTGAAAATTTCTTTTTATATATTACCAGAATCTATAAGTATTTTAAAATAAATATTAATAAGAACTAGATAATAAAATTAATGTAAAAAAAACTTGGAGATTAAACAAATATATATTATTTAGTCGAATTTTTGGTGATCTGCGTTATATTTTGTTAAGCATTGACAATATAAAACGTCGTGATCTCATATGACAAGCTTAATTATTATCAATTTCAGTGGCGAATAAAGGTCAGATTATATGTTAATGAACCTTATCTAAACTTCATTTTTGATAATACTACGTTTTTAGCAACACTAAGTAATATTCTAATCCAATATAAACGCATTTCAATTTTATATATTTGGTTTTCATCTTATTTACATTTTATTATGTTAAAGAAATCCCTAAGATAAGATTATATTTTTTATATTACACTATAAAATGATATGTTATATTTTAACGTTTGATTATGTGAAAGGCTTTAAAAAATTATTTCTCGATAATTTCAATATTATTTTTTATGGTACGCATAGATATTGTAGAGGTCACTATGTCAGGCTGGATGGAGTTTTTTTTTATCTATTATTTGAGTGTATAGTGACTAAAGCCAGATAGACTGTACCTTAGGGATCAAATGCATAATACAGAATTTTAGATACCGAATGTACAGAGTGATTAATTTATCGTTGGCCACTAAATTTCTCCTAAAATAAAAATTGTTCGTTTGGTTTAATTTATTTCTCGACTTATAAGTAGCTATATATTTTTTATAATTAACAACTTTATTTTTTCAAATGGTCACATTCATAATTAACTAGTTTATATCTTAGAAAATGACTGTTCAATAATAACTTTTAGACCAGAATTTCGGAAGTTACTAACATTTTAAATGTACACTGGGGGCGAACTGCAGGTTGTTATTTATATAATTATGTATAACTCTACTACACTATTTCTCCCATTCAGATATAAAAATTTTCAAATTCTAAAATACTAATTCAAAAGTTATTATTCCAGTCTAGTTTGTAATGGGATCGTTTTCTAACAATTAAGCTACTGAAATATGTTTGTCACCATTAAAAAATTGAAATTTGTATTTTATAAGGGATAGATCTTGAAAATATTTAACCAGTTGTATATCAAGAAATAAATACACTTGAAAGAGCCAAAAAAAAATTCTCAAAATCATTATTATTTTAGAAAACATTTATCGATCAACGTAAAATCAAGCACGTTTATACTCCAAGAATCATAAATGACGGCCCTATAGTATGGAGTTAGGGGTAATCAATAAGGTGGCAAAATGATTATTAAAAAATTTTCTTAACAGTACTTTAACTTATTTTATACAGCAAATAGAAAGTTGTTATATTATGATTTAACTTTATTTGATAAAAATTAAATATATAAAGTGTTCAGTAAGAAAGGAAGCGAGTTTCTATTGTTCTCATTGTTTGTAATAATTGACCTGTTTCTTTACTTTTGGAACTTTCTGTATATTGTAAATCAAGTTATGGCTATATTTGTTGGACCCCCTCCCAATGGTCGGTGACATTGCAATTCAAAAACCACTCGACAGAATTGAATGAAATTTGTACAGCTTATTGAAAAAATAAATATTTAATCAAAGGGTTTTTTATTATTAAAAATTATATTTAAAAGAAAAAATTAACTATTGTTTATTTTTCTTGAAAGTCCACGTAATTATAAGATACAGCCATTTAGTTTATTTTCAAAAATAACAATTTTCGATCAGACACTAGATTAAGTTTTTAAACTGACGATTTTGCTTTGTTTGGTTAATTTTATACGAACCGTAAAATTTTATGGTGGTCACCCCAAAGCATGACTTGTGAGAGGGTATGCAACAAATATAGCTATATAGCTTGGTCTACAATAATTTTTTTTTAATTTCTGTCATACATATTAAAACATAATATGATTACCCCAAACACCGCAAATAAATTAACTAATATAAAAAATCAAATCATTTCACAGGGCTAATGCTGATCGAACAATATTTATTTTACTTCTCAGTCCAAAGTTGGAGTGCATTAACGATATAACGGCCGTATTTAGACTAGTTACACAATACAAAAACATAAAAATCAGGTACTTTGACTGGATAAGTGCCACACTGGGCACACCTGTCGAAGAGTTCGTTAAATCTGGCAAAATGGAAAGTGGATTGTGGCCAGTGGAACAGCTTAGCGACCTGTTGCGGCTATTACTATTGAGGATGTTTGGCGGTGTATACATGGACACCGATGTAGTGTCATTGAGACCTGTGCCTATAATGAATTTTGTAAGCGCCGAGTATCCCGGAGTCATGTTAGCCAGTGGTGTAATAGGAATACAAGACAGGAGTATCGCAGAAAAAGGTCTCATTATGTACAAGTAAGTACAAAACTTTAGCTGACATTAACATAACAGACTGTCATAATAAATTAATAAGGTGATCTAGTAGAATTTGTGATGATGTAATTTGAAAAAAAAAATATTCATTATCAAAAAAGATTATTTAGTTTCGCGCGAAAAGTTAAAAATTTTTATTGTTATAAGTAATTGTAAACATTTTAATTGTCTAGTTATATTTTAATACATATATTGGGTGTATAAGACGCTCGTTTGAACTTTTTCCGATGACCGTTTACATTTTTCGGTTAATCAAAACTTTACTTGTTAAAAATAAAAAGGTAATAAAACAATTTAAACAATTTTATTCGCTAATAAATAATTTCACTCGACTAGTTTATTTCTAGCAAAACTGCCAATAGACGAAAACCAATTTAGTTCGAGGTTGGCACAGTAAAATAACGATCAAAATCTGGCAGCCGTCATGAGTAATTATGTTTAAAATGTTTGTAGAAAATATTAACATTCAGTAATATAAACCATATGAAATTTTACATTTATTGTTTTATTAGAATTGTAGACAAAACATTAACCACTGCCGCGTACGGAAAATATTTGTATATAACAACTACAGATTTATTTTCAAACGTTTCTTTTCAAATCGATTTTACTATTATTGTTGTTTATTAAATTAATAATAATAACATGAAACGATGTGAAATTATAATTGATAAATATGAGATGAAAATTATGTTCATGTTTTCATTCACAGAGACGGTTTTGTAGCCGATCATTGGACAGAGAATGGACCAAAGCTGATCACCAGGTTAATGCAAGAGATATGTGAAACTGATAACGTAACTGCAATGTACTCGGGAGATGCCAAGTGTGACGACTTTACAGTTTATCCCCCAGAAACTTTCAGTCCGATTGCTTGGTATAATTGGGAAGCGTTTTTTAACGTCGAAAACGAAGATAAAGTTATGAGAGATATTGAGAACAGCATAGCAGTACACTTTTGGAACAGGATGACAAAAAATACACCAATCGTCGTTGGTTCGGGACAGCCGTACGCACAAGTAGCTGCAACTTATTGTCCGCGAGTATATGAGACAATCGACGATTCATTTTAGCAAATGTATTGACTTTTACTTAAAAATGTTTTCTAATCGATAATTATTAACTAGGATTTTTTACCTTATAACACAAGAAATTTGTTCATTTTTTTAGGTTTTATACTGAAGATAATAATCATGAAACTTGTTACTTATATTATTGAAACTTATTATTTGTAGGTGCGAGGTATCAAAACAAATCTTAACAAATTCTTGAACGCGACACACATTCACGACCTCACTTAATTGAGTGTCATTGTCTATTTTAACAAACTCAATCAACTGTACCTACACAGGGGTCAACGTCCCTGAATCGTTCTACAGAAATGTAATTCTTGTTGTTACATTCTAATTATTTATTTATATTTGTAATTATATCTGTTTGTTTGTTATATTTTTTCTTTGTAAATGAAATGTATTTTATACTTATTATAAATTTTATAAACAAATTATAAAGTAAATTTTGAGATTACAAATTTAATATTGGTATTTTCCAGAGTATTTTCATTTGTAGATATTATTTTTCATATTCGTGATTATTGACAATAATTCTGGTTTTCAATTTGTTACTAGTGTTCAGTGTTTGTAAATATCGTGTAGAAGTTGGAGATGACGTCCTATTATTTTTGTCTAAGATAGTATTTCCCATGTGCCACCAGGGAACGAACCGAAATACACTAAATACAGCACTGTACCCATAAGTTAATTTTTTTCTTTTTTTTTCACCACTTTGGTTTTCTTAAGAAATTGTATCGAAATGCGACAGTGACGCCAAGGTCGATATTTTTCTCTGCCTCAGCACACTTCTCCAATCAGAGAGGCACGTACATTTCCCAAGAGGGAATCACTACTTCATTCTTCCTCAGCGGTTCCGGCGATTCTAATTGCATTAGACATCCGAATTCTGTCATGCGTACAATTTCATATCGGCTCTATCATTCGCCCAGAATTTGAGTAAGTAATTAATTTATCATCAACCACCGACCGACTAGGTTGATAATAATTACATCATAATAACATCGCTAAAAACATTTCATTTTGTTGTGTACAATTTTTGTTATTAGACATACAGTTTTTGCTAATAAGCCATTAGTAATGACTGGGGGTACTTGTTTTGTTTTTTCTGAATTTTTAAAACAATAACATAAAACGGGAAAACCCTTTTATTTAAAAAGAATAATGTGTTTTTTTCAATTTTATACTCACTGTATAGAAAACAACTTGTTGTTGATACTGATTTAACATCGCGTATTCTATTGATTACTCTAATTTTTTATGAATGCCTATTTCACAACCGAATAAATGTACATGCTTTAAATACAACTTTTACCGGTAAAAACATGATTAAAGTTATTATTTCATGTCTAATATACGTACATTTCTCGATGTTCCTTGAATAATAGAAATATTTTATCAGTTATTATGGTATTTATCTAACATTACTTTATAATGTAATGCAAGAAATATATTTTATAAATCAAAAGTAAATTATAAAAAATAAAAATCGATTTTAAAATTTAAATTAATAATCTTATATTTGAATATAAATTTCTTATACACATATAAAAACCAAAAAAATTAATTTATTTTTATATAAAAGTAATGTTAAACAAAATTTTGTAATCAGAAATCGTTTTAGTATTGATATAGTTATAGGCCATTATCAGATACTAGAACATTATACGCATTAATTTATTGGGTCATTTTCGGTCAATAAAAATGATGAGCAAACAAGAATGAACAAGAAACACGTATCATTCATTATAAACTGCCCAAAATTGAAATTAATTTTTGACAAGACTCTGCAGATGTGCACGTGTGTCGCGTATACAGCTATTTCTAGCTATCAAATTTTATCTACATTTATTTATTACCTTTAATAATTTATAATTAGATTAACTATAGAGAATTCTTGGAATTGAATTCCAGCAATATTTTGAGTCAATAATACTACTAAAACAAATAATTAATAATAATAATAACGGATTTATGTCGGAGAAATTTATTTTGTGCTAAAAAATCGTGAATCCCGTTCACAATGTCTACCGCTAACGTTGCTACATAAATTGTTTCTGGTAGTACTTTATTTTCGTTTTCATTGTTATTAAATAATTATTAAAATTCAACTAGGTGTCAAAGATTTTGAGGAGCAAATAACGTTTTTAAAGGTGCACTGTTAGTGTATATGTATTTATAAAATTATGAGACGAATATTAACGTGCATTTATAAATAATAAGTAATACATATATATGAAATTCAACAGTATTTTAATTAGTATTATTCATGTATTTTTTATTGTTTTTAAATACAACTTCAAATAATTTTTTTGTATTATTACTAAAAAGTTATAAAAGTTCAAAGATAAGTACCACTTCGCTAAAACAAAATCGACTCATTAAATTAAACGTAATTCACAATACTGAAACTAAATAAACGAATTAATAAAAAAAACGATAGAAATCGATATAAATTAGATAAATTGCTCCTTTATTTATATTGCTGAATACTTGGCCAATTTTGTGAATGATTCTCAATAAATTTGTGAGGTAATTGGCCTGAAAATGAGAACTAATTGCAAATTGTATTATTAAACAAAAATTTATTTAGATTTATAAAACCCTCTAAACTTAGATTGAAATGTTAAAGTATACTAATGTGTTAAATAAAATATCCGAAAGTGTGAAAGAAGTAAAAATTACTTTCTGCGATTAGGTTGGGACTTGGGTGAGACTTTTCTAACTCAATGGTAACTATGTGAAGAGTATTAGGCGGTTGTCGGCTACAATTTATGTCCAGAGTTCTTTTTGTACACTTTAAGTTTTCTCACAGAACAAACATTTCTTTTTTATCAGTTTCCAAGTGAAGTTGTATTTTTAAGATTTATAGAAATGAGTTGTTGATTCAGAATTCAAGATCGCCGACCACAAGTAAAAATTAAATTAAATTACTTTTGTATTTCTAAGAACATAAGATTTACAACTCCATAATCAGCGCGAGACAACAGTTTTTGGTGTTAGAGATATTTTATCTTTTTTTTTTTTCAGCAATAAAACGTATAGCTATATTTACTATCATTTATTAGTTTGTCGCAGTGGCAAACACGAGTGTTACAGAACGATATAATAGAACTATCCTATAAATAAGATAAGAGACACCCACAGCATCCAGTAAAATGAATGCAATTTGATTTCTCTGCATATTATGCAAACGGTTTTTGTTAAAATATTTCTATACAACTTGGATACACAAAAACAATATAAATATTTTCTGATTGAATGGCACACAATAACAATGAACAAGAACAAATATCAATAAACCGGCGATCTCATTAAATTATGTATGTATAGTAAAAACAAAGAGTTATTTAGTAAATAAACAAATAAATGAGCGATCAGTTTGCAACAAGTTGCAGTTATAGGGATTGTTAAAATGAGAAAATCCAGTATTCCAACCGATAAAAATTTCATAATACTAGGACAATTGTTATTTTTATTTTTAATAGGTTATTTAAAAACATAAACTGTAATGTTTATTTCTGATAAGTTTAAGTTTTCTTTGTTTAAATTTATTTAGCGCAAACAAATTATAAATAATTAGAACTTTTCGTAAGACTATTTTACAATCGTTACTAAAATTTTAATAAAGGAACTGAATAGGCAACTCAACGGACGCATAAAAACTCGGAAACGGTCATGTTAATGTCACTTATAAGAACATTAAAAAAATTAAAGTGTCAACAGCCAATCATAAATTAAAATGAGAATTACTTTTTTAATCCCGTCATTTTACTTATCTCAAAATAATTTCTTTTGGGCTCGTAAAATAAATTGAAAAGACATCTTTGACTTTGAAACACGAAAATGAAAAATCGTTTCTTAGTAGGTCGTGTAATATATTCACAAAAATATATGTTAAAATTTAATTTTCAATTTGTGCACTGCGAGGAAAAATACTAACGTTTCCGTTACTTTATTCGGAATTTTGTAATGCATTGAAGTTTTATACGTTGAAAAAATCTATAATGAACAATATTATGATGTACCAAGCTTTAGAAATGGTCGTAATAAAAAATCTTATCCGTTAGTTTATTTAAGACAAATATTTTCAACGTAAATTCAAACGGTTTTAACAAATTCAATTTGATGCAATCGTTGATTGGTAAAGTCTGTCATAATTTACGGCTTTTGCATACACGAATCTCAACAGAGTATTAGTAGTACGAAGTTAAACTACGGTACAGTTTATTGCGATAAAACAAAACGGATATTGAACATTTTTTATTTGTAAGCCTATGGGCTTCCAATTAAAAATCAATTTCAAAAAGCTCTCGTCGGACTATCTGTACACATCCGATAATTAAAGCCGACGTTAATACGGGCGGCGTCTGAATGATGGACGCGCGTTTTTATTTTTGTACACCTAACGCCGCCAAAGTGGTCGCGGTAGGGAAACTGTACGCTACAAAACTAATTAATTACGGTGCGCCGCGGACAGGAATAACTGGCGAAGACAAGACGAGAGGCGAAAAAAATATGTCTTCAATGACAAACGTAAACGGCGCGTGGAAAGCAAAAGACGGTGGAGGAGGAGCTGTTGCACGTCTCCATTATTGGCTATCGTGTAGTTTTGAGAAAAACAAGAAGAGCACAGAAGACACCGACGAGTTTCGCTGTCGTCGACAAACGTCCTCCTCGTTCTTGCCATACAACAGTTAATTAAATAGTGAAATATGGTGCACACCGACGAGTCGTCAGTAGCGACGACCACGGCAACCGTTATATTATTATAGTTGTCGTCGTTATTACACAATGGGACATGTTTGTTTTGACATAAATTTTTCAGTTAATTAACTGGGTTTATTTCCGCTCCGAACGTGTGCCATAAACACGAGCCCTTTCCCAACTACCGAGGCGGCACACTACAGACTGCACCCGATTTATTGTAATAAATTTACTATTGCACCGCCGATATATATATTTAAGGAAAACAATAACTCGTCAAGCCGGCAGCGATTCACGAGCAGTGTTACTACTATCCGAATGGTCACGTCCGTTTCTTGGGCGAATTTCGAAGGAAAAGATTTTGGAATTTGTGTCTTCTCTCTCTTCCACTCATACTTATCTATAGTCGGGTCCCCAAGGTACGAACGAGCATCACGCGCTACTGTCTATCCGGACGCAATTTAATTGGGATTAGAAGAATACACACACACACGCACATATAAGTATATATATATATATATAGGCGAATGATGTTATGAGTGCGCTACGAGGCCAAAGCTGCCGAATTTAATACAAGGCAAACTCAAAACCCTCAGAAAGAGCGATGCAAGTGAGGTATATGTGTGTAGGTGGTGCAAGTGTGCATTTTATAAACCAAACGGTTTGTTTTTATGCAGCTGTAATGTGATATCACGGAGGGCACGTTTCTGAAACTTATAAAATCCGACAATTTTATTAAAAATTTAAAAACGGGACACGATACCAAA